AGAGGCCATGGAGAGACTGGCCCAGGAGAGAGGCCATGGAGAGACTGGCCCAGGAGAGAGGCAATGGAGAAACTGGCCCAAGAGAGAGGTAATGGAGAGACTGGCCCAGAAAAGAGGCCATGGAGAGACTGGCCCAGGAGAGAGGTAATGGAGAGACTGGCCCACGAGAGAGGCCATGGAGAGACTGGCCCAGGAGAGAGGCCATGGAGAGACTGGTCTAGGTGAGAGGTGATGGGGAGACTAGTTTGGTCTAGAGAGAGGTTATGGAGAGACTGATCAAGGTGAGACTGGTCCAGGAGAGAGGTAATGGGGAGACTGGTCTAGGAAATGGGTGATGGAGACTGGCCCAGGTGAGATAGGAGTTCCTGAATGACTGGTCAGGGGCCTTAGGGACATGTGGTCAGTGAGCAAACCTCTCCCCACTTTCAATCCATTAAGGACTCATTCTCCTTGGGTCCTTCTCCTGAAATCTTTCTATTCTACTCCCTCCGCTCACCTCCCCCCAGCCATGGCTCTGGCCCCTCTGCCATCACCATTGTTGCCCCCCAGACTGCCACACCTTCCCCCTCAATGACTTCTCCCCCAGTGCCTTTGGGAGAGCCCCTCACCACCAGGATGCACACAAAACACCCCTGCCCCACCCCCGACCCAAGACAGTGTTTCTGTGGACAGCTGCACCCCTGAAGGAAATGGGGGGCAGTGGGCATGGGTACCAACAGGCTGGATGCTGCTGCTTCTGGTCTTCTCCATGCCCCACTGGGCTCACAACCCAGCCACCCCGCCCCTCTGGACCAGCTCCCTGGTCACTCTGAGGGGTCCAGCAGGCTGCCCAGTGCGGCTGACAGGGCTGGCTCCCAGCGAGGCTGTGCGGAAAGGCCTGGTTTGAAGAGCTCTGAGCTCAGCGGTGTCAAGTTGGCCTCTGACCACTCACAGGTGTGAGCTCAAATGGAATCCTTATCCCCCTCCCCACTCTGGGCAAGTCCCCTGACCTCTGAGCCTCAATTTGCCTCACCTGCAAATTGGGGCCAATGAACTCTGGAGCCTCAAGATTCTGCGAGACCCTGAGCTTCCTGCAGGTGCTAGCCCGAGTTCCTCTCAGGGGAAGGCACACACGTTGGAGTCAGATGGACTCGCATCCTGGGTCTGCCAGCCCCACTCACCTGGCTGAGCCCACCCTTCATGGAAGGAGCAGCTGCCCTACAACCAGCACCCATAGTTGGGCAGTCCAGGTGCTGAAGAGTGAGGGCGTTCCTCTGGACGGG